TGCCTGTGTGAACCCGGCTGGGGAGGACTGGACTGCTCCAGCGGTGAGTGAGAACCCACCCAGAACCACAGAACCACAAAACCGGTCAGAACAAGAGAACCACAGAACCAACATAACCACAGGACCACCCAGAACCACAGAACCTGCAGAACCAGTCAGAACCAGTCAGAACCACAGAACCAGTCAGAGCCACAGAAACACAGAACCAGTCAGAACACCAAAAACCAGGCCAGAACCAAGCGGTTAGCCGCCAGAACATGGTTTATTTAGCTGGTCCAGCCCACTTTGAGCTGGTTTTATACACTTTTTAAGATAATTCAACAAAATGTTAGCTATTTTTGCACAATTTTAGCTAATGCAGCACACTTTGAACTACTATGGCTCACTTTGAGCTGGTTTAGCTCACTTTCAGCTGATTTTGCACATTTCAAGATACTTTAGCTCACTTTTGGCTAATTTAGCACATTTCAACTAAATTTGAGCTAATTTAGCAAAATTCTAGCTAGTTTAACCCACTTTGGGCTGGTTAAGCACATTTTAAGATAATTAAGCACCTGTTGAGCTGGTTAACCTCACTTTTAATTAAATTAGCACATTTTAAGATAATTCAACAAAACTGTACCTAATTTAGTACAATTTTAGCTCATTTAACGCACTTTGAGCTACTATGGCTCACTTAATTGTTAGTTTTGGTTCTTTAGTTGGAAGCCTGAGAATAAACCCGAGTAGATCAAGAGTACAAATATGACATTTATTGGTCACAAGCAAAGTATATCAGCGCTGGGCTCTCACAGACAAAGTTCCCGGAGGATCTCAGTTGGCAAGAGCCTCGATTTCCGGGTGCGATGGGCAGTTATCCTCTGGGCCGGGCCTCGAAGAGGGAGGACGGCTGGGCGTAACCGAGTGTTATTGGTCAGTTAGCTCGGCCATGTACAGGCCAGAGGCTCTTAATTCATGCAGGTTTCAGTGAAATATGTTAAGAAAGTGTGTGTGTGAATGTTGACCTTGAATAAGTGTATCTACTGTAACAGAGAGAGGAGGAGGAGTAGACACAGCCAGAGTTTAACACAAAAGTATAATTCTAAAGGGAATAATATGAATCTAGAAAGGAATAAGACAATCTGTCAATTACATGGATTAAGTTGTAGCATACTATGCTAAAGTGAGTAATTATAGCCGAATTTTAACATAATGAAGACATTAATGAGAAATGATAATGATTTTATTAATTTTTTAGTCAAACAGACACATTGACTGCAGTAATAGTTCTGTTTTGATGCCAAACTTCATCTGGGCTGCAGAGCTTCTGCCAAACATAACGTTTGTGAAAAGGCCTCGTCAGAAAAGATGTCATGTGCTGTGTGGATGACAGAAGCTGTGAACAGGAAGTGGACAAACAAAAGCAGTGGTGGAGAAATGGTGGAGGGGGCTGCCTTTGTCGCGTCATTTGTGTGTCTGAGCCACTTTTCTCCAACAAAACCAAATGCAGAGTACAGAAAGAAAAGTTCTCTGAGAGCTTTTTGTCGCCGTGCTGAAGGCGGCTCGGTCAGGTTAATGTGGCTCAGCGGCTTTATCTGCGAGTCCAGATGCACAGAGCTGTCACGGTGTGAAGGAAGGAGGAGGACCGACAACCCGGATCAGCGCACAAAGCAGGAGCTGCTGGAAACCGGGCTGCTGGCTGGGTTTGACCCGCAAAAGCTGCAGCCGAGGGGGAAAAGACGAGGGGACCAGGAGGATCTGATGAATAGCAGCAGGAAGCAGCTCTGCTGGGAACGGGAGAGACAGAGCCGGCTAAAAGCTGGCAGCAGACACACACACGTAAAACACAGCGACAGCAAAACGAAAGCAAAAGACCGTCGTCATCAGAACCACTGAGCCAAAGACAGCAAGAAATAACCAGGAAAAGTAGTTAAAGAGATCAGTCTGAAGAAAACTGAAAAAATAAGGTAGAATGACAAGAAAATAACAAAAACACAAAAAACAGCTAAATATTAGATACAAAAAAGAAGAAGAAAAAACACAAAGTAACACAAAAACACAAAAAGTAAAACACATAAAAAACATAACAGAAAAAACACACCATAACAAAACAATACAAAACACTGAAAACACACAAAATAATAAACAAGAAAAAGAACTCAAGACAAACAGATAAAACACAAAATAACAGAAAAAAACGTAAAATAGATAAATCCAAAAAATAATTTAAAAACAAAATAAAAGAATAATAAATAACAGAAAAACAAATAAAAGATACATAAAATTAAAAAAATACAAAACGCGCAAAATAACCGAAAAAACTGAATAACAGAAAAGTGCAAAAAAAAAAAAACTTTTGTCTATCTTCTTTTTTGGTTACTTTTTGTATCTTTTGTGGTCGTTTTCTGTCTTTCCTGTATGATTTTTCCTCTTTTCATGGTGAATCAATGCATATTTTTTATCTTTAATGTCATTTAGTGGCTTTTTTCGTCTTGTTTTCTGTTAGTTTATGTCAGCTTTCGTCATTTTCACTCCCAGTTCCCTCTTTTATCCCCACATTTGAGCCGACGGGCGTCTGAAAACCTTAAATCAGGAGCTGGAACGACAGGTTTCTTAATTCTGATGGAAAACCAGTGACACTCTGAGATCTGAGGCTGAACTCCCAGAGGAGGTCGATTTGGATCTTTTTTCCATGTGGGGGCTGATGTACCAACGACTTTTCTTGAGACATCTGTCAGAAACGGAGGTTTGGGAGCTGGTTTGTTGCTTTTAAAGTGCTGCCGGCCTTTTTGGCTTTGGACCAAAAGCAGCTGGGAGCTTTTTGTTGGAGATTTTCTTCGATTCTGAAAAGCATTAAGATGTCAAAGCTTCAGCTCCTTCCTCCAGACAGTGGTCACTGTGCCGGCCCCACTGTGGGAGTTCGGAACGATTAGGCCTTCTTTGTGCGTGTTTGCCGTCGGTGACATGCACAGAAAACAGCTCTGTACCTCGGAAAGTCCAGTTCAGGCAGCTGGAGGTGATGTTTTGTAGAAAACTTATGGCCTCTGATCCAAGAGGCTTCATAAGCTGCTGAGAGGGAAGAAAACAGAAGAAGGAACGTCGTCATTCCACATGTTGCTGGAGTCTTGGATCCCTGTGCACTTCCAACCCGGCAAAAATATATGGAAAAAGCAGCAAAACAATGAAAAATAAGTGGAAAAAGAAGAAAAAAATACCAAAAACAAGTGGAAGAAGCAGCAAAACAATTAACAATCTGTGGAAATTGCAGCAAAACAAGGAAAAATAAGTGGAAAAGGCAGAAAAACTTTGTATTTATGGAACAAAAAGGGAAGCGAAAAACAGAAGTAGTGAGTTAAAAACACCATGAATGTTTTCTGATGGTTTGGAGGGGTTTTGTTTGTGAGCAGCTCTCTGAAGCTGGTTCTGGATCACATCTGGATCCAGAGGAGCCTGTGGTGGACGCTCAGGTCGAGATGCTGCAGAAGCAGCCCAGACCATCATGCCTCCCCCGCCGTGCTGCAGCCAAACCCCATTCAGAGCGTTTCTGCTCCGCTGAGCTGCAGCCTGACAGCTGTTTCCTGCAGCTGTGGGCGGCCATGTTGGATCCTGAGGCTCCTCTGCTGCTCAGAGGCCCAGATCCAGAGGTCTGGGGGGCGTTCTGCTTCCTGTTTCCAGCTTCTGAGTCCACATGAGTCCCACTCTGTCCCAGATTGAGTCCTGATCCAGAAGCCGCTGTGAGCTAAGAGGTTCCCCCCCATGCAGGACCAGAACCAGGTTTTGAGAGGACCAGAACCAGGTTTTTAGGGCATAGAAAAGCTATTTTAACTAGTTTAAAATGGGATCAGAGCCTCTTCTCTGGACTGTTGGTAAACCAGAGACATCCAACCACTTTTCTTCCGCTTTAAACTGAGTCTCTCTGTGAGTTGGAGCCTAAGCGAGGCCGTTTTTTCTGACTGATGGTCAGAGTCTGAGGCTGACTGATGATGTCATCAGGTCACAGCATTCAGCATCATTCAGCGAACACGCAGATTTCTGAAGGACAGAAGCAGAAGTTGGAGCTCTGAGAGGCAGGTGCTGCTTTCATCCTTTAAAAACACGGATAAAGAGTTACATCCTTGAGCCTGAAGGGCCCTTCTGGGAACACAAAGTCCAGCTTATCCACAGAAAACAGGACACGTGTTGGAGAAATCAGCCAGATTTAGTGTTTTTAAAGGTTTTACATGCGAGTTTGAGCCAAAACGAGGCAGTTTTTCTGATTGAAACTGAGTTGCTTTAAGCAAGTGTTTGGGGTAGAAATTGCATGAATTTCCAGCTGGTATTGTAGTTTTCATTGCTCCCCTGCTGCAAAGCACTTTGAATTACATTAGTTTGTTTTTTCATCAATAATTTGATAATCTGCTTCTCAGTCCGAAAAAAAAACGAATTTTCTGCCTTTTTAGTGGCAGATTGCATGGATTTCCTAGTTCTTATTGTAGTTTTAGATCTTCTTCTGGGCCCCAGATGCAAAGCAGTTTGAATATTATAAGTTTCTTTTTCCTGCCACCATCAATAATGTGATGATCTGCTTCTCCATCCTAAAACAAAGCTGTCTGAGGTTGAAATTGCATGCATTTCCAGCTGTTATTTCTATTTTCTATTGGCCCCCAGATGCAAAGCACATTGAATTTTCTAAGATTCTTTTTCATGACACCATGATCTGCTTCTCAGTCCCTAAAAAAGGCAAATTTAGGAATTTTCAGGTGTCATGCAAAGTACTTTGAGGGGCTTGACGTAGAAATTGCATGAATTTCCAGCTGTTATTGTAGTTTTTATTGCTTCTCCATCCTAAAAAAACAGCTCTTTTTGTGGCTTTTTAGATGTTTGAAGTAGAAGCTTTTATTGTAGTCTTTAATGCTTCTTCTGGCCCCTTGAATTTGTTTAGGAATTGGAGGCATTCCTTGCTGGACTGTCCGGCGGTCCCCTGTTGATCGGTACACGGTGCACGCTGGTTTTCTGCTCCCAGCCTCGCAGCCGGTGTGAGTTTGGAAGCTTCTCCGCGGCTCAGCGGCGCTTTTAGCTGCAGCAGCCTGCAGGAGGGCGGGGAGAAGCTCCTCCCGCTGAGGCCTCTGTGCCGGACCGGCCACATTCGCTGGACCGTGAGCGTCTCCGGGCCCCTCGGTGGGGGCTCCGGGTTAACGAGACGCGACAGGAAACCTTCTGACCTCGTCCCAAGATGGTCTCCGCGGACGTGAAAAATTCAGCGCTACGCTAACATTTCGGCTCGTCTTTTTCATTTCCTCTCGACATTAACGGTGACCCTAAGAGCTGACCTCTGAGTGACTCCGGACGAGGAGTGATTTCCACCTCTCTGGTCTTTGTTGTGGAGCTGCAGCACGCTCGGCCTTCGCCTTCTTCTTCACGACTCCACCTCCAGCTTCTGGGCTCCCAGCGCTCCTCATTAGGCTGGAGTTCATTAGGCAGCTAATACCTGTTGCCCGTGTTGGAGGGGTTACGGAGGGGGGTCAGCCGCCATTAGCCTGAGCCTCCTCTGGGGCCAGGCCTGCTCTCAGCCCCCTTCAGGAGGAGCCTGGCCTTTTATGACAGAGCGGGTCTTTCATTACCCACCAGGCTGAGTTCAGCAAGTCATTAAAAGCAGCTTTGTTGGAGTGATGAGGTGAGTTTCTGTGGAGGAGTGTTATCTACCGAGGACGGCAGAGGCTAGAGAACATCCAAACTTATAATTACAAATTAACTCTGAGCCTTAGACATGTACAAAGACTTTTTTTTCCCTTTTTTTTTAAAAAGATATATATCCCAGACAAGCCCCACTTATGTGATAGCAAAGTGGCCAAAACAAAATAAGGCTTTTGTAACCTTAAAAACGTCCTTTTGTGGAGGTTGAAGGACCCAAAAAAATAGCAGAATGGAATATTTTCCTGCCTGCTGAGCATCAGGATGTGAGTGGAAAGTCTAAAAAAGCTTCTTGTGTCAGACAAGGTGATGATAAACTGAATGATCGTCCCTAGACATGAGATAATATTCCAGATATGACACAATATCCCAGAAATGAGATAATATCCCAGATATGAGACAATATCAGATATGGCACAACATCCCAGAAATGAGATAATATCCCAGATATGAAACAATATCCCAGATATGAGATAATAACCCAGATATTTCCAGATATGAGACAATATTCCAAAGTATTCATTGATATTATATAGTATATATAGTTCATTCTCTCAGATATAATATAATATTCCTGATAATCCCAAGTGTTATAGGGTATTCCAGATATTCCTAAATTTGAAATGATATTCCCAAATATAGATATCCCCAGATTGAGCTCATTCCCGAAAAGGAGCTCTCTCCACTTGTGTCCACCACAGTTGTTGTTTATTTCCTTTCTGAGGCTTTTTAATGCTGAGAATAATTCCCCCACACCTTAAAAAATAGAAATAAAACTAAATGCAACAGGCTTTTTTATAGCAACATTAACCCTGTATTTTTGTCAATTGAACATTTTTGTGAGAATAAATGAAGCAGAGGCCACAAGCTGGGTGCTCCAATGCAGTCCAAAGCGTAGAAGAAGAAAACTTCTACTGTGTTTCATCTTAAAATAAAGCGCAGAAGAAGAAAACTTCTATGTTTAATCTTAAAATAAGGCGTGGAAGAGGAAAACTTCCCACCAGGGCCAGCGTCTGTAGGACCCAGAATGAGCCTGTAGGACCCAATATGAGTCTGTAGGACCCAGAATGAGTCTGTAGGACCTAGTATGAGT